TCACATTCATTATCTTTAAGGTACCATGTTAATGAAAGGATTTTAATCATTGACATTGCTATGTGAATTATTATTACACAAACCCCTGCTGTTGAGTAAGACAAAATTAACCCACTGTAAGGGGCATTAAAAAAAAAAATCACAGCTAATTAGTAAGCTAACAGGAACAAAGAGAATGTACAAAAAAGATGTTGAGAGGAAGACACGTAAAAGCTGTAGCTTCCATTCCAACATTGATCTTTCTGTATGGAAAGCTTTTTGCTGTCTGATTTTTTACATTAGACTTAAGCATTTTTATGTTCTGTAATTAGTTTTCTAAGCCACAATGTCTCACTTCTCTCAAACTGTGGAAATCCAAAGGCTCATAATAGAAAATGGAAAATATTTTAAAATGCTTTAAAATTATTTCCCCAGCGATCTATATCAGAAGCATAAAATAATTCTCTGGATTATTCTAGGAAATTATTTCCATATTCTCTGCTGTTCTCCATGAATTGCAGAATACTTTAACTACTCTAGCCAGGTTCCACTGGAATAAGCCCTTCATTTTAATGGATTGATACTATTGTCCAGGTTGCAATTCCATATGGAGTAGATAAATAAAGCTATAGGTTTAAATCACTGCATGGCTTCTTTTCTACACTCCCAGTCATGCTGGTTTCCAATGGGCAACACATCATTTTGCTGGTGTAAGAGCCAAGGATGAGATGATCAAACCTCACAGAAGTATTCATGCTGGGTGCCATTTGTTTATAATTGCTCTTTGTAAGTTATAGTTTCAGATAAAGCTCCCAAAATGGAAAGAAGAGAAAATAATAATTAAGTCTGTTTCCCTTTTAGAGCTTGACAAAGGCTTTAATTTTTTTTTAACATGTTTGTCCTTTCGTTCACTATTCCACACATTCCCTGGCTTCTCTCTTTTGTTCATCAGCCTTTGCAGCCTGATAATTAAGACTCAAAATATTTGCTGCTGTTTTTTTTTTTTTTTCCAAGCCATCATTTGGTTTGTGTTGTAAATGTGGAATAACAATAATCTAGTTCTCTTGTGTGCCAGTAATTTAGTATTTCAATAATCTCCAATTGTTGAAAGGTTTAAAACAAATCAACATTTCTAGCAGTTTCCTTTTCTTTGTAGGAAAAAAAAATACGTGAACATAACATTTACAGAATATACTCTTATATTTTCCTTTTTTTTTTTTTTTTTTTTTTCTGTAATCCATATGAGGGAATTAAAACACAGGGCAATTGCTGAGCATAAACCAGAAGACTCGATTCAATAAAAAAATAACATTCTTGCACAGGGGCAATTTTTACAACCAATATCATCACTTCAGCTCTGCTAGTGCTGGATAATTCCATTAACTCTTTTTATCCAAATTCAAGTAAAATAATAGAAAGAGGTCGTATCAAATATATTCTGCAAGGGGAAGTACATTTCTGTTATGTATAAACTTCCAAGGGAGTGTCTGACAGTGTGTTAAAAATATTGGATAACCATACCAAAAAACTCTAAGTAAAAATTATGTTAGTACCACAATGTACACAATGGGTCCAGGAAGGTTAATGACAAAACTGGGAACTAGACGCTGAGCACCCCAGAACACATTTTAGAGAGTAATGACATTTATCTTATTTCTAGAATCCCTAGGCAATGTTCTTCTCTCCAAATTATCAAATCTGTAAGGAACTGCCTGAGCCACTATTTTGGGGAGAACTGTGGGTGTTAATCATGCCAGTAGTGTAAAATGGATTTAGATATCCAGTTTACAGAGCACTGAAAATGTTTACCAGTGATTGTCTAGAGTCAAGTAAATCGGTGATAACTCCCAGAACAGAACTTACCCCCCCGTCCTGACTCCCTGTATATTTTTTCATTTTTGTTCTGTTTTGTTTCATTCAATGTTGATACACCAGGAATGAAATAGTTTTTCCTACATTATAAGTTCTCCTATAATACAACTTTCAGAGCACAGAAAAGCAACACAGAAAGTCATCTTAAAATTGTATCAAAATCCACAAATGATTCAGCTGAAAACCTAGGAAGGACATTCAAGTTGCAGACGAGAGAGACCCTGTGGACTCCTCTGGCTCCTTTAGAAATTGGAGACCCGTCAAGAGTCCAGTTAAGAAGTGACTGTCAGTCACAGAAGACGGCATCCAGGTTCTCATGCTGTGGCCCTTCCCAGTGTGTAGTGGCTGGCTGAGGAACCTTCCAGGGAGGGTGAGGTAGCAAAGCTACTCCGTAACATATGCTGTCCCAGAGGTCAGTATTCCTATACACTATCTAGTATTCAGTTAGATTACATCCTCTCTCTTTAAAAAAAATAGTGATATACAAATGTGGACAGAACTGCTTGAGTAATCACACATCATTCACAAGTTTCCTTCCAACTTTTAGGATATTCTGCCAAAGACTTCATATGCATCTTCCCTAGCCACCAAAGTAGTTCCCTTTCCCTCCTGTGGATAGTTTTAGCTGTAACAATCCCTACTTATATGTCATTCATATGCTGTATTTGACTAAGCATGAATTGAAAATAAACAATTTCATGAAAGGAAAGAAGCTGAATTAATTTTTCAGATGTCCACAACAAATATCTGTTGTCTATTAAATGTCATGTTTTTACTGATAGTAGATAGCTATGTATTTATGAAAATTAGATACAGGTCTATATCTATATGTGAATGGTTTCACATATGAGTGTGTCTGTGCATTTGCCTGTAAGAATTGTATGGGAAAACTGATTAGAAAAATAAATCTATGAACCCTGATCCATCTGTGCTTTTCAGTTTCATATGCTACACAATTATTTGCTCAGATTTCATACTGATATCAATGAAAATTTTATGCAAGTAATGAATGCATGATATACAATTTAAATTTGTTATTTATAGCAGAGAGGTTTCTTTTCTTCTTCATAAATATTATTTATGCTAGCCACTAAAATCTGAAAATATAGAGGTCCTGACAATATCCTCTTTGAACAAGTATTTCATATTGTTAAAACTGTTTCTGGCTCTGTTTCTGCAAAGATCTTATGTATATGTTTCAATATTATCATGCATTTAAGTTTGAATACGGTTGAAATTCCACATTTCTTTTTTTTTTTAAAAAAAAAAAAAACCACCACAGACTGAATATTCTAATGGTAAAAAAATGAATTTTACTCCACTTCTTTATGTCTTATACAAATGATTTACAAAAGTTTTTGAATTTTCATCTTTGTTCTGCTGCACTACAAAGCAGTTATCAGACCCCATTGTGAACACTTTGGAAAAACACAGCCTGGCTGACAAATTAGTAGTATTTGTTGCTAATATTACTAATTCAACATTTGAAAGGGCTGCTCACTGGGGAAAAATAACACGTTCTTTAAGTCACAGGAGAAACTAGGGAGATAGTTAATGGGTGTTGGCTGTGCTGCACATGTTGTGCACAATGCCGTTCACATTGCAGCTGACTGACTGCCAATAGATGTGGAAGTAATTGTCAACAAGATTTATTGTTACTTTCACATTTATACAGTTAGAGAGGAAAGGTTGAAAGAGTTTTGTGAAGTTCAGTGCTGACTTCTACTGAACCATAGCAACACGCACTGATTATCACTAATGCATGTCACTGAAAGAATTTTGCATCTTTGGAGGCCTTAAAAGTCATTCTTACTTGTCAGAGCAAAATTCCCACAATCTTCAGTAATTTTTTTATGGGATCAATACCTGAGCTTTGACTTCAGTTCTAGTGCACAAACAGTTTTTTAGTACACAACTGGACTTGGAAACCTCAAACTTGTTTAACAACAGAATTAGGGCACTCAAGGTAATTAAAAAGTAACCACTAGAGAGAAGCAGATGTTTTTTACTTGAAATTAAGTGTTGTAAGTGGGGGCGGGGGGGAGACAGTGGATCATCTTTGCAAAGTAAAGGCTTTAGCTCACCGGTTTGAAAGAGCACAACACACTCGTTATATAAATGTATAAATTCCAGAGGCATGAATTTCAATGAATGTTTTTTTCAGCTTCTGTTCCTGTGGTTTATGCTTCTAGAGAATGTTTTTAACCTAGCTTCACTAAGGCAAAACTGCTTGATTTACATATAATTTTAAATGCATACATATTCCAACTTTAAAAGGATAGATTTATTTTACCAAATGCTATAGAATTTAATCAGAAACCAAGACTCAGTGTCTCAGACATTTTTGTGTTTATCCAGATAGAGCAAAAAGTTTTACTTAGAAGGCTCTTAGGACTGTCCTGCTTGAATCTCTGGCGGCTTTATTTCTTTGTTTCAGATGGAAATCAATAGAGTTGAACTTGGTTACATTTTTGCTGTAGAAGACCCCTCTATCTCTGAGATCTTATTAACTAATAGCTTGAGACTATGATACATGAAACAGAGAATAAATAGCTATCCGGACTCTTTCAAACAATTTCTGCAAAGGCACTCTAACATGGAAGGAAGAGTGAGGCTACGGTTAATAGGACTTATGCGGTGATTCTGGATGTTGCTCCAGTTTGCATCAAGATCTAAGAAAGGAAACAGGGAAGATATTTAGGCCCAGTTATTAAGCATGAAACATGCTCTTACAGTACTACACAAATACATGTGTGCAATTTCCCCATCTGTGATGAAGATAATTAACTCCTCTGTCATAGAGGTGGACAGTTATTTGCTCATTTGGCAGGATATTTCATCAGTTTCTCTTCACATAATTAGCACCATTAAAGTCTCCAGTTCTATCATATAGATGGCACTGGTACTGATAAAATATTTTATTATACTTTAAAAGTCCAGTGTACCTAAAGAAAGCAAGTATGTTTAAAAGTGCTCCCTGGAAGCATGTTTCTGTTTTCTTGTGTACTTACCTCTTAGGAAGCATAACCCTGATTTCAAAACTAGGCATGCAAACACATGCCAGCCAAACAGCTGATAAGTCTCTGAGTTCATTTGTTTGTTGCCAAAGAGGGTACAACTTATTGTAAACTAATAAAATAAAAAATTACCTCTTCTCAAAACTTGATCTTGTCTTCCAGTTTCAGGTGGCATTTCCCAGCACTGTTGCGGCTGTTTAGAGAATTATCTTGGTAATGAAGGACATCTGGATAATGGACAGAACAAGAGTGTCAGGATATGGAGAAAGTAGGATGGAAAAAGAGTTATGGCAATTTTGGATTGGAACTACTCTAAAGTGTCCTAACAAGTATTAGAAAAGTCAACATTTCAGATAAGCAACATGTTTATCTAAATATAATTTACATTGCAATCACATTTTTTGCAGGAAGACATCTGAAATTGTAATGCTAATCTAAAAAAAAAATATATTTCACTACTAAGAAGAAAATCAAAACAGTTTGAAACAGTCTTCTGATAATGAGGCAAACACTGTTACAAGATACAATAGAGTCTGCACATATCCTTGTGAAAGTAGTGAATTGCAACCTTGGTGTTGAATGTTCCTGACAATTAGATTTGGCTTAAAGATAAAAGCATTTTATTTCTGTGCCTCTCTCCATTTTAGTATTTCCCCTGTTTTCCAAAATACCTACTATTTTATATTGTTCTTCATAACCTTCTATACACTTATTTCAGAAAAATTACGTGGGAGTAGTATATTTTAAAATAATATTATACTTGCCATCTATGTATGGGAAATATGACTGCTCTTTTCACATAGGCTGAAAACTCCATGTTCTAAGTCTTGAATGCATGAACGTGCCTACACCCAGATTGCCTTTCCAGTTCTGCCTACACTGACAGTCCCCAGGGTCACAAACAAACTATACACCCTCAGGAAAATTTAGTCCCTGATAATCAAATAATTCTCAGAATTAGCAGAATCTTGAATAATGTGAAGTGCTGAGAAATCATTGATGACTGTTGTGTATCTATGTGAGCCAGAATAAGAGCACTTACACAGCTGTAAGAGAATCCAAAGGTAATGCAAAGGTAAAGCAGAGTATCAACAAGGGTAATTTCTGAGAGCATGAGTCCAGAGGGCTAGGTACACGCTGCATTGCAAAGGTCCCAAGAGAGACTCCCTCTGGCCCTTAATTCTAGCAGTTCTGTGTTATGCATACGAAATAAATGAAAACTAGTAACAGAAGGATATGCTGAGTAGTTCAAAATTAGTGATTTTTGGGTAACAGAAATTTCTGCCAATTCCTTTTCCCTGTATAGATTCAAATCCAAAGCTCCACCAGATTTGTCTGAACAACCCTGCAGACTGATAGCAGGACTGAAGTTCTACCTTGTTTGGTCTTCACCCCAGGTAAATACATGAGATACTATTTGAATTATAAGCAAAGCTTTCTCTGCCAGAGGTTAAAATCCTGTGTTATTTCAAGGCCCACATCATACCACCAATATTTAAGTGTTCTTATTCGAATGGGTAAATGGTTAATTTTGTAAGAAAACTAAAGAGTCAAATACTATATCCTTGAACATTACTGTGAGCTAACAGGTAGAAAGATTACAGTCTGAAAAATAAGTTAATTTGTTGGATCATTAAAGATAATTTGTGTGAGTAAACATACAATTGCCCAATCTACAGAGAAGTCAGGTGAGGCAACAAATGATTTAGGAGATGAAGATAACTAGGTGGTTATACAACAGAAATATTTACCATGTCTTTTTTTTTAAGTTAGCATTACAGGTCTGTCACATCATGCCTACATGATAGAGGCAGAAATGGAAGAGCTATTTTAATTACAAAAATTCAGTGTAGCACATACCACTATTTGGCAGCTGAATGGCATTCATGCTGAGTAATGCAGAAAGTTTCTGGAGATAACATCTTAATTAGCAAGACTATGATGTCCTACACTATCTTCTTTTTAGATCCACTAGGCTGAAAAACAAATATTATAGATGAAACCTTCAAACATGGCCAATTTTGTTCCATGTTTGTTGCAGAAAAAGACAAAATATTGAGATATAAAAAGATAATCTGGTGACTGATGCAGACAGTCATCTGGTGCCCTGTTTCCCTTTCTCCCAAGCACGTCTGAGGCACTCAGCTGTCTGACATCAGCCCCTCAACCCCTGCTCACCTTCCCTTTTTATGTGTCAGTAAAAACCTAGTACAGATAAATTAAAGTAGTTCAGAGCATATCCCTGGGTTTCATCATCTCCTCAGTTACCTGCTATAGGATAGATTACAATTTCACAGATGCTAGCAGAGGCGATATTATAGCAAAGCAGTAGTGCCACTACAGATAAGGTTAAGATGGCACTTCCATTATAAACACCTATTTTCAGTGGCTTATAACTTCAGGCTACAAATTTCTCTCAGGCTGAAACCTGGCATATTTGGGCTCAGCTTTGTAATGGCTTTCCCTGTCTCTTCATACCATTTTGATTAGGTGTTTGCAATATGAGAATGCAAACAAATATACATCTCTGGTCATTTCAAATGGCAATGAAATACTTTTCTTTCATGAAAAAGCCTGGAGGGCAGGATGTTCCTGTCATTCTAACACCCTTTTTACTGTCAGATATTTCCCCCACGAGATCATTTTTAAAGTGACAAAATTCACATCATTATTTCCAAAAAACATTCAGGACAGCCAAGGAGTATGGTCCCTGCTGATCTGTTCTGAAGGGCTTACTGTGTCCCTCTGAGTGGCAAGAGCTTACAGTGTTCACCAATGCCACACAGTCCAGGTGTGTCCTTGCTCAGGGCTATGATAAAAGCCACCCTTAGCAGAACAGCATTTCTGGGAGTTCAACATATTTGCCAAAACTTCAATATTTTGGAATGTAGAAAAAACAAGCATCATTATATAGCACAAAAATCTCATTATTTTAATGAGGCATTTATTCTAATTGTCTAATTATTTTGAATTATACCTCATTATTAAAATCCTGTTTTTTCATTCTGATCTTTAATGGAGGATGTAATGAAATCCCTAAATACAGTACTGCTTTTTTTCTGTGGCCTTCTCCTTTCATAAAGTTTAGAATTTTTGCCAAAGATGATGGGTTTTCATCAGTCCTCTAAAACAATAAAGTACAGAGACCTACTTGCATGTCTGTCCACCTGCCTGGCTCCCTTCATGGTAGTATCTATTTCACCATTTTTTAAAAAAAAATAAATAACTGTAATAAACTTGCCGAATGAGACAAATTTTGTGTTAATTTTCCTTTGTATTTCTCATGTACTGAGATATGTGCTGAATTATTCTATCACAAACAATGCATAACCTTTCTGTGCTTTTGATGAGTTGAGAGGATCCTGTATCAACAAAGGATATTTTTAAAGAGTCTGCCTCACAGTGAATGGAGTAGAAAAAGACATAGAAATGGGAACAGGAAGAGGAGAGAAAAAAAAGGCATATCAACATTTGGAGAGGAAATATAAAAATGATTGAACATCAGTTATTCTTGAATATTTTTCAATTTTTTTCAAAATTTATATCTGAATACCATCATCAATTTGATTTTTGCCAGCATGTCTCATACACACTACAACTCCTTTGTAGTCCTGGAACATGTGTAGTAGGTACATCCTTCAGGGTACTGGGCTGCAATAAACCTGCTATGTACATTCCTTGGAACACTGGGCCTGGACACACTGGGGAGAGGAAGCAATAATGATGGCATTATGTTAACTAAATCTCCTTATAGTCTGTAGGGGCACCATACTGATATTTATTTTAGACAGAAGACATTCACATTTGGCAGATATAAACAGTGATATGAAGCACACGGAAGAAGGTAAAATACTTCTTACTCTGGTCACTCCAACTCAAAACACTTGGCAGGACTGGAAAGGGATCAAAGGCAAAAATAATTAAAAATTGAACTGCTGTTGCTTTTTGAAAAAGAGACAGAAAAGGAGATATGATAAAAAACATAACAATAATGGCAGAGCAAGAAAATTAGGAGATTCTTACATGGAACATACCCAACAAAAGCCACCCATTGAAACAGAAAGCAATGGTTTAAGTGTATGCATACACTGTACTGCAAGAGTACATCAACAATGACTGCAGTACACCAGAGAGATACCCATGCTAGCTTTAAACTAGTAAGCCTTGGTACTGCCAGCAGTCAGCTACGGCAGCGCAGAGCTCAGCATGAGCTAATTTACCCAGCTTCTCAGCAAAGTAAATTGGCTGTGCTGAGCTCAGTGCTGCCTTGGTTAGATTGCTACTGGTGTTTGAATTTAAATCTAGCTCAGGTTTCTCTGCATTACACTGCAGGCACTTGAATGATTGCTGGGTAAACCTGCTGAAAGACTTGTAGAAAGACAGTTTTTAGATAAATTGTACACCTATGGAACTCCTTCTAAAAATATTAAGTTGATAGTATAGTGCAGTAAGACTCCTCCCAAAATGTTAGATACATAGGCAGTAGGAACAATCACAATTGCATTACAGAGAAAAAAATAATTACAAAGGCTATAAGGAGGAAATATTATTATGCTGCAGGGCATAAACCCCAATTTAAAGCTTCTTATAAACTACTGGCCCAGGTAAGATTTGGATGACAATCCTGTATGGTGCATTTTGTATTCCTAATTGGATATCCTGATTAAAAGTACCTTTCCAGCGATTGTTGTAGAAGAATCTATTCAGTATATCTAAGACATCATTGTAAACACTATTTAAAAGCCAGAGTCCAATCTGGTGAAAGGGATAACTTTTTAAGTGAGCATGGATATACCAGCAAAAAACCCAAACCAATCCAAACCAAAATACCCTAATTAGGAACGTTTAGCATTTAGTTATAAATTCCAACTCACAAATGCAGCCATTGACCTCAAATGTTACTTTCCTAGTGAATAGAATTATCTGTTGTGGTTATGTTAGATGATTGTATGTCATACGAAAATATTCCTTGAAGATGTGCATGCTTTTTCCTGTTTGCAAGAAGGATTGGTCATGGTTCAGCCAGACTGCAAAAATACTTTCGAGTTAGGCATGGACTGGTGATAATTGTTAATGATTGAATGTCAGTGCGTGGGAGTGGGAAAAAACCCCATATAATGGCAGGTGATGGTATGTGAAAGTGCTGGTTACACTGATACAGTATCACTCTACCAGATTTTATAAATGAAGGGCAAATTAAATTAGGTTAAATATATGGTTATTTAACAACACTCAACCAAACATTTCTTTGCTGGATAGCAAATAAGGCTTGTATTTAACCAAAGATTAGTGCATTCCAATTTTAATACCAATGCAGTTTGTTTTTATAGGAGGATCTAAACAGCACTTTATGTTGACATTTCTATTGCTTATTTAATGAACGCATATCAAATATGCATGGCAAATAAATACTGTGTTCCATGTAAACCTTTCCTGTACACTCCCTATCTTTTCTGCTTTGAAATATATTTGTACTCATAAAAATGCATATCACTACAATGTAACTAAATCTTATTTCAATTTTTTTCCAGACAAGAAACAGAAATCTACATCGTTATAAGTACTACTGTACTGATATTTTAAAATGCATCCCTGAACTGTACCTCTGCCTAAGCAGTCAGTCTACTGAGAAAGTACACTTCTGACAGAACAGATTAAGACTATCCAAAACTCCTTAATTTACTGTCTGTACAGAGCAGTGCTGTGGCTTTCCTTATGATGCAACCAACAAAAATCAGACCTGGCAGAAGACTCTAACTACATTCTTCAGCCTGCACAGCTAAATGTGGTTTTGTGCTCAGCTAGAGCTGAAGAACACCTCGTTTGATAACACCTGCTTAGTTCTAGGTACAGGGGAGTACACTTCCAGCACAGTGTTCAATTTTTCTGGATAAAAGGTTCATCATTCACATTCCCGTGGATCCTAGCTGAAGTTTGTTACATTGGGAATTCTAGGGGACATGTAGAAGTATCTGGAAGACATTTACTATGCAGGAGCCTAAAATGTCTCTTCAAAAATCTGTTTAAGCACATATTGTGAATTATACTATATAAATAATAAATTAACATATATGTCTATTGCACATATCTTCTGGCTACTTGCAAGTAAGTCTGAGGCTATGAGAATTGTTCTAATTTTCATTTTAGATGATGTAAGCTAATCTATTAATTTATTATTTGGGTGCCCTGCTTAACTTGAACAGAGCAGGCAACTCCTTTTTTTTTTCTGTGCAAATATATTAACAGAAAGGCAATAATTAGTATTTTTTCTGTTTTGATTCACAGAGGCTTTTCAAACAATATTGCAGATTTTTTAAAGGAAACACAAACATTGTACTTGTTTGGTACCTTCAAGTCCAGAAATAAGAAAAGGCAGATTACTTAGCTCAACAGATTCTGAAATGAATGCTTGTTTCTGCACACCTTCAGGTTTTGGTATTTTATAAAGGAGCTTTAATGTTAGTCTGCCTAGTAATTCACTATGGGATGTCTTTATATACCACTGACAGTAATACGGCTCATTTTGGGTGATTAATTTAACCCCCAGTATTGCAAGTGCCTTGCTACATTAGCATATCTTTCAAGGAACTGTTGCAATGTGAGAAAATTGCCTGTAGGATTATTTGCAACTAGGAACCTGTGAAATGTAAAATAAAATTGAAGACTATAAAGTAAAATATCAAAGCTACCTAAAATATTAACAGCCAGTACTCCAAAAAGTAATTTAGAAGAATTGCATGAGGGAGTGAAAATTACTAATTTAAAAACAGATAGCCTTGGCAAAATAAAGTCAGAAGTTTAGAACAAACAACAGATAATACAAATTCATTGTATACACAATATGAAAAGAATGCAAGCAGCACTAGCAGCTTTAGTAGATGAAGAAGGCTGGGACAGAAAAGCCGGACCAAGCAAGCAACCAGATCTGTACAAACAAAACAAGAAAGTTGCATTATATTGAATTTAGGTTACTGGA